TTCAATTCCCGGTCAGGGCGGCACATGCCTGGGTTGCGGGCTCGATCCCCAGTGTGGGGCGTGCAGGAAGCAGCCGATCCATGCTCCTCTCTCATCGATGCTTCTCTCTCTCTCTCTCTCTCCCTCTCCCTCTCTGAAATCAATAAACATATATTTTTACAAAAGTTAACGGCTGAGGAGGTGAGGTTGCCGGTGGCTGCGCCTGGGGGGCAGAGGCCTCCCGCGAGGATATGCCGGCCCCTGGCAGCAAGCGCACCATCTGTTACTTGTGCGCGGTTTCTGAGCTCTAGTCTCAGGAGACCTTACACGGAGCAGGGAGAAACCACTCCGGGTGCAGCCAGAACTCCCTCCCCCATGGTTCGCAGGACGACGTTTTGGTTCAGAATTTGAGACCATCCTGAGCTCCGCCACCCACTCACCAGAGCCAAGTGGCCAATGGAAGGACGGAGCCGGGTCTGAAAGGCAGGGCTCAGGGCCCGGGTTTCGGATGAAAACTCCTTCTCGGGCCACAGCTCCGCGAATGTTTCTGAATGTCTCGGTAAGGACGGTGCGGGCTCGGCGGCCCGCGGGCGGCGGGCCTCAGCCTGACACTGCGGGAGGCGGGAGAGAGCTGTGTCTTCATCCGAAGTCACACCAGGTCCAATCGCCCTGCCACCGCTTGCGGACAGACCCGTGCTCACTGCCTTTTCCTTCTTCTTTTGCTCCGTGACCCGCGTCTAACATGATTCTAAGTCTCAGGGGCAGGGCTCTTGCCTTACTTTGCTTCCTCCTCAGTGGACACTTTAAAAAAATACCTATGTACTAATATAAACACATATATATACACACATATATATAATTGAGTTCAGAGAGGAAGGGTGAGGGAGAGATAGAAATACTAGTGATGAGAGAGAATCACTGAGCGGCTGCCCCCTGCACGCCCGCACTGGGGATCGAGCCTGCAACCCGGGCATGTGCCCTGACCGGAATCGAACCTGGGACCCTTCAGTCCGCAGGCCGACGCTCTATCCACTGAGCCAAACCGGCTGGGGCTCATGCAGGAGGCAACCAATCGATGTGTTTCTCTCACATCAATATTTCTGTCTTTCCCTCTCCCTAAAAAAATAAAATAAAATCAATGGAAACATATCCTCGGGTGATTAAAAAAAATCACCAAAGCAAAACACTGAGGCTTCCTGTCAAGCCTACGCACTGGTAACAAACATTGTTTATTGGGAATTCACAGTAATTGTCTTGCCAAGAAATGGTGGCGACAGGTTGTGGAATGACATAGTTTCCGTAGTTACAGACAAAGGAGTGACAGGTAATGCTTTGAAAGAAACAATTACAAGATTCAGGACATTTAAGATCACGGGATGCTGTGTCCAACCGCCTGGCCGGAAGCTGGGCCGGGAGACGGCAGGCGCCGGGGGGAGCACGGGGAGCACGGGCCGAGCCCCGAGACGCGTTCGCCTCTTCTCCGCCTTCGGGTTTCTCATGAGTGAGGTTGGACCACATCACCTTTCTGGGTCTTAAAAAAAACCCCCGAGAACTCAAGGTTCCTCTGACCGGTCTCCTGAGTCGGATCCAATAGATTGTGTTTAATACGCGGAATGAAGGGACACGAAGCCGGCAGACACCGTCCGGCGAGAGCGCGTCCGTCCTGCCTGTGCCGGGGAGTCACTCCCCCGGGGCCGGTCCTCTCCCGGCTCCTCCGCTGACTCATCCCGAGACGGGAGGCCCTGCCCAGCAGACGCGGTGCCCTCACTGCCGTAACTCGTGACACAGGACAGACCCAGCACAGCTGGGGACACGCCAGAGGGGCCTTTGGTGATGGCAAACGGGGGAGCCTCTGCTTCCTGTTGAACCGTTAGCTGGACGTTCCCCCCCCCCCCCCCAGGCACCCGCGCTGCGCCCACACCCTGGGCGTGGGGTTGCCGCGCTGCCACGTGGGGGTCCACGTGTCCCGGAGGAAGACGTGAGGGCGCTGCTGGGCGGCTGCCCCGCACTGAAGGCCCCTCCCCCCCCATCTTCTCTTGTCCGTGACACTGGGCACCGTGATCTCTGCGAAGGGCTGCATTCGTCTCCCACGACCAACATGTATGGCTTTGACTTCAGGGAAGGATTTGTGACGTTTCCCCACCGACCTCAGCGATGACAGACTCTGCCTGCAGCGACTCGCCTTGTGCTGTCAGAATGCTGAGAGCACCTGCTCTCTCCTCTCCGCTCGGACTGCCAGGCGGCTGAGAAGTGACATCGAATCCCGTCTCTACACGGAGGCCTGGGACGGAGGGCGGGACGCGGAGGGGTGACCAAGAGCCCCCTGTGCCCAGATGCACGGCCCAAGCCACAGACCATGGGGCGGGGAGGGCCGGGGGCAGGGCCGCTGGAGGGGCCCATGGGGTAAAAAGGGGACCTATGTGATACTTTCAACAATAAAGATAAATTAAAGGAGAAGGAGGAAAACCAGACTCTGCAGGTGCTGGGTTTTTCATTGTGAAAAACAAACATGATCTCATGGGTCCCAGCAGCCAGACGATTCAGACCCCCCTCTGCCGTCCGAGCTTTCCGGGCTGCGTTGTGCTGTTTTAATGTCCGACGTGTTCCTCACAGGCCTCTGCGTGCCCTTTGAGGACACAATTTGTTCAAGAGTAAAGGTCACAGTGGCTAGTGTGGCTCAGCAGCCGGCATTATTTCTATGATAACTAGACGTCCAAGATGGGCAGCGCTGCTTTGAGCACGGGTACGATTTCACAAAGAAAATGCACTGGTTTTCCTGTCATCGTCGCCAAGAATGAGATGAGCTATTATCACGTGAAGTGGTTACCATGTTGTTCAAACGCTGGCTGGTAAGTTACCTACGAAAAGGCGCATTCAGCGTCGTGAGAGAGGGGACTTAGCTGTTCGGTCTGGCTCTGGTTCCTTGTTCACTGAATACTACATTCACTTGGTCTTCTTACTTTCCCAAGGTGCATTTTTTAAATAACTGATTTTAGAGACAAGAAGGGAGAGAGGGGGAGGGAGGGAGGGAAGAAGGGAGGAAGGGAGAGAGAGAGAGAGAGACATCCACCAGTTGCCTCCTGAACCTGCCCAACTGGGGGTGGGTTCTGCAACCTGGGTATGCGCCCCGACCAGGAATCAAACCCACCACCTTTTGGGACGACGCTCCAACCAACTCAGCCACAGCGGCCAGGGCCCAAGCTGCCTTTGTAAGACAAGGAATGATGCTGACTTAAAACAATTACATGATGAGTATATACCATATGCAGGTTTTTCTATTTTCTTCATATTATGTACTTAAAAAAAGCGATATACAAGACTTATTGTGAAAGCGTATTACATAGCTATCATTGAAGATCACAGATGTGAGAAAGCATAGCTATTTAAAAGAATGAACAAAATCGATGAAGCTTCAATGTCTCATTTCATTGAGAATTTACAACAAGCCCCTCCCCCCCCCCAACCCATAGGAAATGAGAAGTTGTCCTGTTTGAATGGCACGTCTGTATTAGTTATAATTCAATACACGGTGCCTTTCTATGCAGATCTAAGATCCGAAACCTCCATGCCATACACAGCATGGCCGAAGAACCATGTGACGATGTGCAGGTCAATGCAAGGCTTGGGTAGTGACTGAGAATAAATATCACACAGCGAGAAGTTTTATCATAAACCAAACGCAACGACGCAAGGAAACCAACAGGGTATGTACGACGACCAAGGTCTTTACAGGGACTTAGAGCGCACCTGGCCCTTGCCGGGAGCCATCCACGTGGGAACGCGCGCAGCGACAGGCATCCGGCCCGGGAGTCTCTAATCTGGACGTAAGAAAGCTCGGACAGCATTAGATAATATCAAAAAGCCTGAATGAACGCAAGGAGTTTCTGTATCGTGTTTATAAATGATTGTGTCTATTCCATAAAATAAAAAAAACACCATCGGGTCAAAAGTGCATTTAAAAAAAATGGTGGGAGTTGTGATTCTTGGTAAGAACTAGAAAAATGTCTTGTCCCAAGAAAGACGTGGTCTGAAGGCTTCTACAGCTTCTGCGTTTTCCTTGAACGTCGTGCAGCCCTGGTTACCATGTGCTGGGAGAGGAGCTCGGACAGAGGGAGCTAAGTGGTCTCTTCATGAACATAAGGGGGAACGCATCCGGAGAGGAGGAACATTCCGGGCCTTTCCCCCACGGGAGGAAGCGACTCTGTGCTCACAGGGGCGAATGGGAACCAAATTGGGGACATTTCAAAGGATTTCTAGACGCCTTCATCTTTTTCAAGGGTTTAGTCATAACTGGCAGAATTGCGAAATCTTGGACTATAATAGAACGAAGACAAAACATGACTTTCAGGCGATAAATGACACCCTTTCATCTGCTTCCCACAGAAAATAAAGACCGAGGATCCGGAAATTAAAAGGCGGCGACAGAGGAATTGTCAGGAAGGGACAGATGGGTGAAGCATGACTCCGGGTCTTCACTGACCCTCGCCACAGTAACGGCTGCATTTGGACAAAGTCCTGGGCCGATGCCCATGTCGAAATATGTGAGGTGCTTTCACCACATGTACTTATGTCAGAAAATGAAATGGTAAAAATGAGTGGCCTACGCAACAAGTTGAAAGGAGGAAAAAAAAAAAGGAATGTGAAGAGAAATCTTATCTTTAAACTTCTTGGGGGACCAAGATCTTGACAGAGCTATGTCCAGATTCCCGCTGGCCAGTGTGGCTCAGTGTTGTGTGTCCACCCATGAACCAGGTTGCGGTTGGATTCCCGGCCAGGGCACAGGCCCGGGCTGCAGGCTCCATGCCCCGTGGGGGGATTCTCTCTGGTCATTGATGCGCCTCTCTTTCTCTCCCTTCCTCTCTGAGATCCATAAAAATATACATATAAAAAAAAGTCGCCCTAGCCGGTGTGGCTCAGTGGGTAGAGCACAGGCGCGCGGACTGAAGGATCCCGGGTTCTATTCAGGTCAAGGGCACAGGCCCAGGTTGCAGGCTCGATCCCCAGTGGGGGGCGTGCAGGAGGCAGCCTATCGATGATTCCCTCTCATCACTGATGCTTCTCTCTCTCTCCCTTCCTCACTGAAATCAATACAAATATATTTTTAAAAAACCACAAAAAAACAAAGTCACTGTTAGGACAGGGGGCCGGGAGGTGCAAGTCTTGGACGCTTGGAGAGGAGGAAAGGGTTGGAGACGTGGATGCGCTGGGGCCGTGTGCGCACGTCCTTGGCGAGGGGGGTCCCTGGCGAGGGGGGCGGAGGTGAGCTGGGGGTGGGGGGGTTAGAAGTCGATGGAGATGGACGCCTGCGCGGAGTCGTCGCGGCCGCGCGCGTAGATCTCGCAGGGCAGCTCCTCCATCACGCGGTCCTCGCGCGCCGGCTCGGGGCCCGGGCGCGCGGGCGGGAAGGCGCAGCGGGTCTTGGGGAAGGTGCTGTTGAAGGTCGTCATGGGCGGCGGCGGCGCGAAGTCGTTGCGGAAGGGCAGCTCCACGGCGGCCGCCAGGTCGGTCCTGCCCGGCTTGCCCGGCGCCGCCCCGCAGTGGTGCTCGTGCACGCAGCGCGAGGCGGAGGAGGCGCGGCGCAGCGGCCGGTAGCCGTCCAGCTCCTCGCCCAGCTCGCCCAGCTCGGCCGCCAGCTCCTTGTCGCGCAGCGAGAACAGCTCGTAGTGCGGCGGGTCGAACGCCTCCTGGAAGCCCGGCTTGTGGAAGGCCGCCTTGCAGGCCAGCACCTTCTTCCGCGGCTGCTTCACCTGCACCAGCACCGACACCACGAGCAGCACCAGCACCACGCCCGCCGCCACGCCGATGATGGTGCCGTGGGTCCGCGTCATCTGCTCGAAGAGGCCGGCCCTCTTCTTCTCTGCGGGAGAGACGCGTGCGGGCCCTCAGCGCGGGAAGGAGCCCGGCACCGGCCGCCCGCCCGCCCGCCCGCCCGCCCGGAGGCTCAGGGGTTGAGCGGCGACCCATGAACCAGGGGGTCAGGGTTCGATTCCCGGTCAGGGCACAGGCCGGGTTGCAGGCTCCATCCCCAGTGCGGGGCGTGCAGGAGGCAGTCGGTCCATAATTCTCTCTCTCCCTCTCCCCTCCTCTCTGAAATCAATACAAATATTTTAAAAACCTTAGTATTAAAAAAAAAAAAGGGAGCTTATCACAGACCAGGAAAGTGCTTTTAGGGGACGTTTGGGTCAAATACATACACCACAGATAATACAATTTAAAATTAGGGTTGTTTTCTTTTTTTTTAATTTAAAAAAATGTATTTTTACTGAATTCAGAGAGGAAGGGAGAGGAGAGGAGAGAGACACACACACATTAATGATGAGAATCATTGATGGGCTGCCTCCTGTACGCTCACTACGGGGGCTCGAGTCCGCAACCCGGGCATGTGCCCTTGACCGGACTCGAACCCGGGGCCCCTCAATTCACAGGCCGACGCTCTATCTACTGAGCCACATCAGCCAGGGCTTTTTTTTTTTAAAATTTTTAAAAAATTGGTTTTAGAGAAAGAGGAAGGGAGAGAGATAAAAACATTGATGAGAAAGAATCATTGATCAGCTGCCTCCTGCATGCCCCCTACTGGAGATGGAGCCCACAACCCAGGCATGTGCCCAGTGGGGGGCGTGCAGGAGGCAACTGATTGATCAATCTCTCTCTCCCCCTCTCTTCCTTCCTCTCTCTAAAAAGCAATAAACACCATTTAGTGGACGGCGATGGCCACTCCTCCCGGGAAGGCGGGCCCCCGCGCGGACTCACCTTTGCAGTGATTCTCGTCCCACGGGTACGCGCAGTTCTGAACGCCGTTACAGACCAGCGAGTTGTTGATGCACATGTTGCTGTGGCAGAAGAAGGTGCTGCCGGTGCAGGGAGCTGTGGGGCGAAAGGAAACGTTGCTAAGAACGCGAAGTACAGAGTGAGCGCATCCCCAGGGGTTGGCACTCGCTGCCGCTGCTACCGCGGAGGCCTTCCCGGGAAGAACCTCTGCACCCCACAGCCAGGCAGGCGGGCGGGCGGCGCTCCCCGCTGACCACATGCAAACTTCATTTATTTATTTTCTTTTCTCTTAATCCTCACCCGAGGGTACTTTTCCATTGATTTTTAGAGAGAGTGGAAGACAGAGAGAAACATCGATGAGAGAAACACATTCATTGGCTGCCTCTTGCATGCGCCCTGGCGGGGGGGAGGGGGGGGGCAGGCTGGGGAGGAGCCTGCAACTGAGGTACGTGACCTTGACTGGACCCTTCAGTCTGCGGGCCAGCACTCTATCCACTGAGCCACACCGGCCAGGGCTCAGCCCCACTTTCTTTTTTTTTATTTTTAGAATTTTAAGATCTGGTGCATTGAGCCTGTGAGTACCCCAGATTAATTTCAGAGAGGAAAGGACAGGGAGAGAGAGAGATAGAAACATCAATGATGGGAGAGAATCATTGATCGGCTGCCTCCTGCACACCCCCTACTGGGGATGGAGCCCGAAACCCAGGCATGTGCCCTTGACTGGAATTGAACCTGGGACCCTCCAGTCTGCAGGCCGACGCTCTATCCACTGAGCCAAACCAGCTAGGGCTCAGCCCCGCTTGTGATGATGCTGAAAGACGGCTGTCCTTCAACCACGCCCGCAGGGGGCCTGCAGGCTGCAGGTCACTGGAAATGGCATTATGGGCTTATTCTAACAAAAACCTCTCCCCAGCTTTCACACTGCCAGTCCTAGAAGTTCCTTGCCTAAACCCACAGCCGCCCTTACAGAGTGCGCGTGGGACTCGGGGCGGGGAGCCGTGGGCCCATTCTGACAGCCGGTCGGTTCCGGCACTTCCCGAGCTGGGCTATTCCCGTCTCGGCTGCGATCTCGGGTGGGCGGGTAGGGAGTGAGTCTCCGAGCAGAACTGGGCCCCGAGTATAAACGTCTCCTGGGCTCGGGCCACTCTCGCAGACGCAGGACGGCCAGACGAGGGCAGAGGCGGCACTGAGCCCCGATTAGCGACAGCACAGATCGCGCGGCTGGAGCGCTCCGTGTTTATCAGGAGCCTTCAAACCGGAACTTTTGTTTTTTTGTCTTTTTTCTAATCCTCACCTGAGGATATTTTTTGCATTGATTTCCAGAGAGTGGAAAGGAGGGGAGAGGGGGGAGGGAAAATAGAGAGAGAGAGAGAAACATTGATGTGAGAGAGACACATCGTCTGGTTGTCTGGTTGCCTCCCGCACGTGCCTCTACTGGAGCTGGGGAAACTGCCATCGGGGTACGTGCCCTTGACCTGGAATCGAACCTGCGACCCCTCGGTCTGTAGGTCGATGCTCTAACCACTGCGCAACCGGCTGGGCTGGCACTTTGGTTTTACAGACTTAGGGGATGCTTCGCCCCCACACGCCGTGCTCTGGAGGGGGGCGCCCTCCCCGTCCGCGGGGGAGCGCTGACCTGGGACATGGAACCGCCCGGGCAGCAGCCTCCGTGGAGTGTGTGGCTGTGATCCGGGTAAGGATTTCGCTGGAAGAGGCCCTTCGCCTGTGTCCTTATGAGATTGGTTCGAATGGAGACACCGTTAGTGTAGAGAGAGAAGATACTAGAACACAGCTACTCTACAGAGAGTGCGAGGGGAGGCTGCCGGATGGGCGGGGCCGGGACAGGGAGGTGAGGCGGGACAACGGTCATACTCCTCTTGCTCCCCAAAGAACAAATGACGGTAACCGTGATGTGGGCGGGGAAGGTGACACGGAGCGGAAACAGTCACAACTGAACCTGAATGGGTTACAGGCGCATCCTACAGCCTCGGGAAAGGGGGGCTGGCGAAGCGGGTCCACAGTTAGGCTATCACCGACCTGCTCCGCGGGGACGCATTTGCCGGGACGCGGGGAGCTGCTCGGAAAGCCCTTACGTTGTCCCGGGACTGAACGGTGAACTCCGGTGGGGAAGGGGAGCCAGGTTGTTTGTTGTTTTTATTTTTAAAAAAATATGTATTTTTATTGATTTCAGAGACGAAGGGAGAAATAGAACCAGCAATGAGGAGAGAGAATCATGGGCCGGCTGCCTCCTGCGCGCCCCCCACTGGGGATGGAGCCCGCCACCCGGGCCTGTGCCCTGATCGGCAATCGAACCGGAACCTCCTGGTTCATAGGTCGACGCTCAACCACCGAGCCAGGTTTTTACTGTGACGTAAGGAAGCAAGAGCTTAAACCGCCGTGGCTTATGGAAAGGGCCCAGGAGGCCAACGCGGGGACCCTGAGCGACAGTAACGTACTGCAGAGCCATGTGCTTTCCGTGCATCATGAGGACATTAATGGGGTGAAAATAAACAGCCATGAGTCCGCCCTGGATAAAAGCTGAGGAAGTGAGGAGGGGGACCAGCTCCCTCAGAGGGAACGGACAGTGACCTGGGGAAGGAAGGAGGCGGAGGGCCGCCCCAGGTGGACGCCACAGCGTGATGCTCGGGCAGAAACCGTGAGTGGCGCTGAGATCCCGGAGCTGAGATCCTGGGGCTCAAGGGTATTTGCGGCGCCTCCGGAGACGTGTTAGTCATCAGAGAGGAAAACAGTCAGCTCGTTGTCGAGGAGCCGGCAGACAGCCCTCTGGTGGGGATGGAAGTTCAGGCGAGGCAAACGCACAGGGGTGTCCTCCCTCCTCCTTTCCCTCCCTTCCTCCCTCCCTCCCAGGGGTGGAGCTCCGAGACAGGGATCTGGGTTTCTGCAGCATTTTTAAAATTTAAATATATTTTTTGTTGATTTCAGAGAGAAAGGGAGAGGGAGAGAGAGACAGAAACATCCACGATGAGAGCGAATCATGGATGGGTTGCCTCCTGCACCCCCCACACTGGGGATGGAGCCCACAACCCCGGCCTGTGCCCTGACCGGGAATCGAACCGTGACCTCCTGGTTCCTAGGTCGACGCTCAACCACTGAGCCACGCCGGCCGGGCCTGATCATCATTTTTAATTTTGAAAATCTCGAAAGGAGTCTCCCCTCTCTGCTCTCCCGACCGTGTGCTCACTACTTCCCGAGGCGGGCAGCACCTCCTGTATCGACACGGCCGCTTCACCCACACAGTCCGCTCCCTGAGAGGAGGGACTAAGACTCAGTTATTTCTACATCCTGTGAGCTGCCATGGGGACGCGCCATGCCCGGCCGGCGTGGCTCAGTGGTTGAGCATCGACCTACAAACCAGGAGGTCACGGTTCGATTCCCAGTCAGGGCACAGGCCCGGGTTGCAGGCTCGATCCCCAGTGTGGGGCGTGCAGGAGGCAGCCGGTCCGTGATTCTCTCTCATCATTGGTGTTTCTCTCTCTCTCTCTCCCTCTCCCTTCCTCTCTGAAATCAATAAAAATATATTTAAAAAAAGAAAAGAAAAGAAAAGAAAAGAAAAGAAAAGAAAAGCCGAAACCGGTTTGGCTCAGTGGATGGAGCGTCGGCCTGCGGACTGAAAGGTCCCAGGTTCGATTCCGGTCAAGGGCATGTACCTGGGTTACGGGCACATCCCCAGTAGGAGATGTGCAGGAGGCGGCTGATCGATGTTTCTAACTCTCTATCTCTCTCCCTTCCTCTTTGTAAAAAATCAGTAAAATATATTAAAAAAAAAAAAGAAAAAAGAAAAAAGAAAGGAGATGCTCAACGACTGTCCTGTGAATGAATGAAAACGATGCCAGCGACCTCACTCGACAGGGGCCGCTCACTTACGCTCCACGAAGGAGGTGAAGAGCATCCGGAACCTGCTGAGCCGGCTGCCCTCGTCCGCCCACATGCGGATCACCCCCACGCCGGTCTGGAGCATGACGTCGTTGGCCACCGTGCTGCAGAACTTGGCCTTGAGGTTCTCGATCGCACTGCTCCCGTCGTAGATGGCGACGAAGTTCCTCTTGCACTCGTTGGAATGCTCCATCTGGTAATCCAGGAACCGCAGGTAGATCTGTGACGGTCACACAAAGGGACACTCGGCTCTTACCAGGCCCCGGCGCCCCGGCCGGGTGGCTCGGCCGCTGAGAGCATCGCCCGACATCGCCAAGGCTGTGGGCTCGAGCCCTGGTCAGGGCACAGGCAAGAATCTACCAATGAGGGGATGAGAAGTGGAACAGGAAGTCGATGCTTCTCTCTCTCTCTTTTCTCTTTTAACAGAAATACACGTTACCTATCAGTTTAACTGTTGAAATTCCTAGAAGCGAAAAGCAGGAGTAGTTAGCCACCAACCTCCATCTGTCAGTTACTTAAAACCCCCTTCCCCGCGGAACTTTCCGGGGAAAGTCTGTGACTAGCCGGGTGGGGGTGGGCAGGGGGATGGGGGTGCGAACAGGGGCCTGAGATTTGCTGCGTTGGGGTTTGGCCTCACAACTCTGAGACCTGTGACAGGACACTCTAACTCCTTGTGATCCATTTTTCCGCACAAAACTTAAAGTTTTTTTTTAAATCCTCACCTGAGGATGTTTTAATTGATTTTAGAGAGAGAGAGAGGAAGGGAGGGGGAGAGAGAAAAACACACATCGATGTGAGAGAGAAACATCGATCGGTTGCCTCGAATACGTGCCCCAGCTGGGGATCAAACTAGCAACTTCGGTGTGTGCCCTGACTGAGAATCGACCCCCCAACCTTTTGGTGTACGGGGTGAAGCTCCAGCCACCTGAGCCACCCCGCCAGGGTCATCAAACTTTTTAAATGAATCTGTGAGCATCCTGATCAATACGTGCACTCTTGAATTAGGAATCCACAGACTTTAAGAATCGTAAAATAAGAGTCTTACTGCATATGTGTGCTACTCCTGAAATTGACACTGTTGCTTATCTAGCTAAGGCTGGTATCTCATAAGGCAGCGGTTCTCAACCTGTGGGTCGCGACCCCTCTGGCGGTCGAACGACCCTTTCACAGGGGTCGCCTAAGACCATCCTGCAGATCAGATATTTACATGACGATTCATAACAGTAGCAACATGACAGTGATGACATAGCAACGAAAATAATGTTATGGTTGGGTCACAGCATGAGGAGCTGTATTTAAAGGGCCAGAAGGTTGAGAACCACTGTCATAAGGGAACCAAAATAAAGTGGTAACATCGGTTTATGTAATCAGTAAGTGCTTGCACAAACCCAAACTGCACCTCACGGGAGGCGCCCTTACGGCCTCCCCGTGCCTCGCACGCAGCCGCACCTTGGCCCTCGGGGTGGCCCGGATGGTCCAGATGCAGTCCACCGCCTGGCCGGGCTTCGTCTTCTCCTCCTGCTCCACCTGGCTGGACCGCACGACGCCGTCGGCCCCCGAGAGCTCGAACTGGCAGTCTGGAAGGGAGAGAGGAGCACGTTCAACGGGAACGCGGGCGGATCAGAGGCGCCAGGAGGAAAAAGAGGCAGATACTAAACCTGGGATGGGGCTTAAAATACCTCCGAGGTAAGTAAAGTCTGGATCTGCAACAGAAAAGAGGAGACGTCAGTGGCATTTTGAGACAGTGGGGAGTCACCTACTATGGCGGACGCTACATTTAGTAACAGGCGCTACATTTAGTAACAGCTGCTACATTTAGTAACAGGCGCTACATTTAGTAACAGCTGCTACATTTAGTAACAGGCGCTACAGTAATAGATGCTACATTTAGTGACAGATGCTCCATTTAGAAACAGATGCTCCATTTAGTAACAGCTGCTACATTTAGTAACAGATGCTCCATTTAATAACAGATGCTACATTTAGTGACAGATGCTATATTTAGTAACAGATGCTACAGTAACAGATGCTACAGTAACAGATGGTACATTTAGTAACAGATGCTACGTGTAGTAACAGACGCTATATTTAATAACAGCTGCTACATTTAGTAACAGACGCTATACTTAGTAACAGCTGCTACATTTAGTAACAGACGCTATACTTAGTAACAGCTGCTACATTTAGTAACAGATGCTATATTTAGTAACAGATGCTACAGTAAGAGATGCTACAGTAACAGCTGCTACATTTAGTAACAGACGCTATACTTAGTAACAGCTGCCACATTTAGTAACAGTTTGAGAGAAAGCTTCCTGGTGGGACTAGAGACCACTGTTCCTTATGCGCATGTTCACCGAGAGCATCAATGTTTTCAGTGATAATGCACAGACTTAAAAACATATATATTTGTATTGATGTCAGAGAGGAAGGGAGAGGGAGAGAGACACGTCCATGATGGGAGAGAATCGCGGACCGGCTGCCTCCTGCACGCCCCACGCTGGGGATGGAGCCCGCGACCCGGGCCTGCGCCCTGACCGGGAATCGAACTGCGACTTTGTGACAATCACAGAGCCACATAGGTCAGGCTTCATTTTTATCAAGTAACAAATTTCTGGCACGAAACCTAGTGGAACCAGAGACCGCACACTTGCGGCACCGCGTTGCCCGGTCACCGTGTCAGCTCGTGGCTCCTGGCAGACGGCGGGTGACCCGTATCCCCGTGTCCCCAGCGGGAACTGGCGCACGTTCGCGGCGGACAGGGCTCTGCGGTCCTAGTGTTAACCCGACTGAGTGGGCGCAGTTCTAGCCGACGGAGGCCCACGGCGGGGAGGCCTCCCGGGGGGAAAACCGGCTCGTTACCTGGAATAAACGAGTACTTTGCTCGGAATCCCATTCCTTCCAGTTCTTCGTCGGAACTGAACTTGACCCACATGAAGCGCCCCGTGGATCGGATCAGCGGAGGGCTCTTCACGCCGCAGAACCGGTTGATGAGCGGAGAGAAGCCGAAGGGCCCGTCGCGAACCTCCAGGTGGTCAAAGCGGCATTCGAACGAGGGCTCGATGTAGAAGTGCTCGTCGAAGGCCAGCTCGATCCTTTGCCGGGGTGCCGCTGGGAGGAGAGAGCGCGCCAGTCAGGGCCACGCGCGCGCCAGAGCAGGGCTGTCCTCGCTCTAGTGCAGGGATGGCGAACCTATGACACCCGTGTCTGGGGTGACACGCGAACTCATTTTTTTGGTTGATTTTTCTTTGTTAAATGGCATTTAAATGTATAAAATAAATATCAAAAATATAAGTTTGTTTTACTATGGTTGCAAAGATCAAAAAATGTCTATATGTGACACGGCCCCAGAGTGAAGTTAGGGTTTTTCAAAATGCTGACACGCCGAGCTCAAAAGGTTCGCCATCACTGGCCTAGTGGGACAGGCCGCGAGGGGCGTAAGGAGAACGTTACACATAAAATTCACAGTGTTCATTTCACCGGACAGCGATGCTGCTTGGGGGCGGCGGGACCCTCCCCCTGGGCCTCCGCTGCCGAGGAAACGAGTGAGAGGCGGGCAGCTGACTAAAACCAGAGGCCAAGTAAAGGGAGAGTCGAGAAGCTAACGTCTGGTTCACGACTACAATGCACCATGAACAGAAACTCGGGATGAACGGCCAGTGGATCCGAGGACATGAGCGGCACGAAGCTTGGTAAGGGAGGCATTTCTCAGCCACACGGGGCAGCTGGCTGCACGGCGCTGTCTTAGAGATTCCAACTTCCTGTCATTGCAACTGTTGCCTTGGTGATGTGTTCCGCGTTCAGGAATATGTATGCATTACTGGAGTTCAGTTCAGATACGTGTTGAATTTTGTTCAAAAAAATTTTTAAATATATTTTATTGATGATTCTTTACAGAGAGGAAGGGAGAGGGATAGAGAGTTAGAAACATAGATGAGAGCGAAACATCGATCAGCTGCCTCCTGGGGGATGTGCCTGCAACCAAGGTACATGCCCTTGCCCGGAATCGAACCTGGGACCCTTCAGTCTGCAGACCGATGCTCTATCCCAGTGGTTCTCAACCTTCCTAAGGCCGCGACCCTTTAAGACAGTTCCTCATGTGGTGGTGACCCCCAACCATAAAATTATTTTCGTTGCTACTTCATAACTGTAATTTTGCTACTGTTATGAATCGTCATGTAAATATCTGATATGCAGGATGTATTTTCATTGTTACAAATTGAACATAATTAAAGGATAGTGATTAATCACAAAAACAATATGTAATTATATATGTGTTTTCCGATGGTCTTAGGCGACCCCTGTGAAAGGGTCGTGACCCACAGGTTGAGAACCGCTGCTCTATCCACTGAGCCAAACTGGTTAGGACTCAAATTTTTTAAAACAGGGCATTTTAGCCAATGGATTTAGTTTTACCAGAAAAGTGAAAAGTCTCTGGCCGCTGTATTTCGTGGATAGACCGTTGGCCTGTGGACTGAAGCGTCCCGGGTTCGATTCTGCTCAAGGCCATGTACCTCGGTTGCAGGCTCCTCCCTCCTCCCCAGCCCGGGCCCTGGTCAGGGAGTGTGCAGGAGGCAACCAATCGACATGTTTCTCTCACATCGATGTTTCTCTCTGTCTTTCCCTCTTTCATCCACTCTTCCTAAAAATCAATGGAAAAATATCCTCAGGTGAGAATTAAAAAAAAAAAAAAGAAGAAAAGTAAAAAGGCCCTGAATAAAAAGATAGAAATCGGGCAAATACCTTCCAAAACGTAGATGCACTCCTTGTTGGGCGGGTACGGTTCGGGGTAACTCGGTGAAGCGAAGTGGCCTCCATTGCTGGTTCGAACCCAGATGCCGCAATGGGTGCCAGCCACAGCCCTGACCCCAATGTTCTGTCCATCTGACGGGAACAGAGGTCAGAGCAGCCGGCACAGCAAGAGGGCGCCTCCTCTCCCGCCCCACTGCCCGCCGGCACCCACACCCTGGCCCTTCCAGGCAGCGCCCACCAGCACCGCCCACGGCCCGGGCCCAGGGGCTCCGAGGGAGACGCCGGAAATGAGTCTAACGGGGAAACGGACGCTGACTTCCGCCTGGCGATAAAACGCGAGCCCCAAGTAACGGTCGGGTGGATGCGGGGCGAGCCAGGCCGCTGGGGACGCCGTGTGTCCCGTGTCTCCGGGCTACGCTTGCCGCCGACAATAGACTCTGGCTGCCTGCGGCTCAGCCCGTGAAACCCAGGCTGAGGGCTAGAGGGAGCCCGAGGTCATGGGCACAGCCCGAGGGAGGACGGAAGGGGTCCCCACGGGCTGCGATCCTTCCAGGTGAGCCCCCCACCATCCGTTCAGGGGAGGGGCCCCTGAGCACCTTACCTGGGGGCTTCTGGGCCACGGCGATCCCCTCCACCACCAGCACCGTGATCAGCAGCACTGGAGGGAGGACAGAGGAGACGCGTTAAAACGTCGGACCTATGTCATGTTTCGCTCAGTTTATGAGGGAGATCAGATGATGAAAGAGGAACGAAAACCATTGTTTCTTACATTTGCTCTCAAGATTTAAAAATTAAAAATTTTTTTTTATTAAGCCCAGCTGGCGTGGCTCTGTGCTTGAGCATTGACTTATGAACCAGGAGGTCACCGTTCGATTCCCGGTCAGGGCACAGGCCCGGGTTGTGGGCTCGATCCCCAGTGTGGGGCGTGCAGGAGGCAGCCGATCCATGATTCTCTCTCATCATGGATGTTTCTCTCTCCCTCGCCCTTCCTCTCTGAAACCAATAAAAATTTCTTTTTTTTAAATAAAAATATTTTCTTAAATATATTTTTATTGATTTCAGAGGGGAAGGGAGAGGGGGAGAGAGGTAGAAACATCAACGATGAGAGAGAATCTTTGATCGGCTGCCTCCTGCACGCCCCACACTGGGGATAAAGCCCAAAACCAGGACACGTGTCCTGACCAGGAATCGAACCACCACCTCCTGGTTCATCATGTGTCTTGTTCAGCCACTGAGCCACACTGGCCAGCGGGAATCTGCTGCTGATGGACACAGCTGTCAATATCTTGATCCCACAAGAAGTTTAAAGATAAGTTTTCTCTTCACATTCCTTTTCATTTTTTTCCTTTCAATTTGTTGCGTAGGCCAGTCATTTTTACCATTTGATTTTCTTGCATAAATACATGTGGTGAAAGCACCGCACGTATTTCGACATGGGCCTCGGCCCAGGACTTTGTGCAAATGCGGCCGTTACTGTGGCGAGTGTCAGTGAAGATCCGGGCTGCGCTTTGCTGGGTTCAGGGTTTTTAAGGGCGAGATGATATGTTCCAATGAACTACCCGACACTGAAGACAACCCAAGCACAAGATGCCTGGCAATGTGCTCGGGTACCCGAGCCCTGAGATTACACGGCGTGGAAAGCGTGTTTTAATTTATGATGCGTTCAAAGAACACATACTTGTTTTTTCTTTTTACAAGTTTTGCTGACCCTGATTATTCCCGTAGGCACTTCAGTCCATCCCCAGGAGCTCCAGGCTTTATGGCTAGCTCCGCACCGAAGCACGCCAGCAAAAATTCAACGAGATGATCGGACGTGAGGGAACATTCCTAACGAAGGCGGAAGGAAGGGGGCAGCAGTCTCCCAGAATCAGCGCAAGGCGCCTATGGCTGTGTCGCACGAAGCCGACAAAGGCTAGCGTAGGAGAAAATGAAGCTCTTTCTTTCTCCCCGTGTTGAACGTTTCTGAGGCTCAATCAACAACGAGTTACTTTATGTTTGGAAGAGCCTTTTATTGACTTTTAAAAAACATGTTTTAAGTGATTTTCAGAGAGAGGGAGGGAGAGGGAGAGAAACATCAATGAGGAGAGAGAATCACTGATTGGCTGCCTCCTGCACGCCCCCTATTGGGATGGACCTGTAACTGGGGCATAAGCCCTGACCAGCTCGACACTCAGCCACCGAGCCACGCCGGCCGGCTCAGCTGCGTCTTCATAGATCAAAACGGAACTATTAGAAAGGGAGCCTAAGAAAACAACCCCATTTACAGGTGCATAAAAAGCACAAACAACACACACACACACACACACACACACACACACACACACACACACCAAACCAACCAACCGAACAAAAACAAAAAGAAACTGAAGCCCTGGCCGGTGTGGCTCAGTGGATAGAGTATCGGCCTGGGGACTGAGGAGTCCCGGGTTCGATTCCGGTTGGGGGCATGTACCTGGGTTGCGGGCACATCCCCAGTGGGGGGTGTGCAGGAGGCGGCTGATCGATGCTTCTCTCTCATCGATGTTTCTAACTCTCTATCCCTCTCCCTTCCTCTCTGTGAAAAATCAATAAAATATATTTTAAAAAAAAGAAAACAGAAAGAAACTGAAGAAGATACAGCTGAGTGGGAGCATGTGCGGTGTTCACGGGTAGGAAGACTCGACATCATCAAATGTCCACACGGCCCACAGCGACTATAGATCCACCGCCATGCCTATCAAGACACCAATGGCGCATTTCACAGAACTGGAACAAATATTCCAAAAGCGGACGTGGAGCCCCAGGAGCCCCCGGACAGCCACAGCAATCCTGAGATAAAAGAACGCAGGTGGAGGCATCACACTACCTGGTACCAAACAGCCCGGCACTGGCATCAAATCAGTAGATCAAGCGGACAGAATAGGGGGCCCAGGAATAAAGCCATGCCTTCATGCTCGAATTAATACTCGACAAAGGCGGCAAGAACACACAATGGGGTAACGATGGTCTATTCAATCGATGCTGTTGTGATAATTGGACACGAGAATAAACTCAAAATAGATTAGACTTCAGTACTAGACTTGAAACCAGAAAAATCCTAGAAGAAAATATAGGCAGTAAAATTTCTTGTAGCAATATATATATGTATTCTTTTCTGATACATCTCCTCGGGCCAGGGAAACAAAAGGAAGAATAAACACACGGGACTACATCAAACTAAAAAGCTTTTGCACAGCAAAGGAAACCATCAACACAATGAAAAGACAAGCCCCTCATGGGAGAACATATTCGCCAGTGACACATCTGATAAAGGTTTAATGTCCAAAATGTATACAGAACTTACACAACTCAACACCAAACCCCACAAAACCAAACAACCCAACAACAGACGGGCAAAGGGCCTGAATAGACCCTTCTCCAAAGAGGACCTACAGGTGCCAAGAGACATGAAAAGACAACGCCACGAATCACCAGAGAGATGAAAATTAAAACCACGATGAGGTACCACCGCTCCCGTCGGAGTGGCGACCATCAGTAAGTGAACAAACGACAAGTGCTGGCGAGGACGTGGAGAGAGGGAGCCCTGTGCCCTGCTGGCGGGATGCAGACAGGTGCAGCCATGGTGGAAAGCAGCCTGGAGTTTCCTCAGCAAATTCAAAATGGAACTGCCTCATGACCCAGCGATCCCACTGCTGGGAACACATCCGAAGATACCCGAGACACTGATGGGAAAGAATCTATGCCCCCTGTGTTCACTGCAGCCTTATCTACAACAGCCAAGGTTTGGAGGCAGCCCAGGTGCCCGTCCGTAGGTGAGTGGATAAAACAGCTGTGGTACGGTTACAGGAGGAATACTACTCGGCCATAAAAAAGAAGGAAATCTTATTCCCCTTTGCGACAGCGTGGAGGGACCCGGAGGGCCTTATGCTGAGTGACATAAGCCAGGCAGAGAAAGACCAGCACCATGTGATCTCACTCACGTGAAACCTAATGAACAAAATAGAAACAGACTCATAGGGACAGAGAACTGGCAGCTGTCAGATCAGAGTAGGATGTGGGGCTGGGCAGAAAAGGTGAAGGGATTAAGCAAAGCAACTCCCCCCACCCCCCCAAAAACAACAAAACACCAAACTCACAGACAGACAGGGGTATGCTGATCGGCAGAGGGGAAGGGGCTGGGGGGCGGAAAGAAAGTAAAAGGGGGTAAGGAGCGATGGAAGGAGACCTGTCTTGGGGCGGGGACACACAACACAACACAACACACAGAGGACGTTATACAGACTGTACATCTGAAACCGATATAACTGTATTAAACGGTGTCACCCCAATGAATTAAAGAGAAAGACACAGCTTTTCAGTACTGAACTTATTTCTGCCTTGTTTGCTTTCTCAGACATGAGGCTGAAGAATAACGGACAGGGGCTGGCATTTGTCACAGTCTCACATAAGACTTTTTCCGACCTAGTGCCAAGGGATACTTACGTTTCATCACATCGCAAATCTAGCCCCAGCCTACAGGCTCCACCGTAACGAAGGTGATGGAATTCTGCGGCCGCGTGCAGAATGAATAAGGACTGTGAAACGGTGAGTTACGACCCCGATATAATAGCTCACGAGACGACGACGCTTCACGCTGACCAACGGTCAAACGCTGTAAGCCTGGAGCGACCGCAGACAACTCAAAGCGCATCGCTGAGCTGTAACCATCGGGCGAAGGGTGAGACAGCCCAGAGCTGATCTTTCTGTTCTCGCTGCTGAAAGCGGAACAGAGAGAAGCCATGGCCTCTGGAAGAGATGACCTTCCACCCAGAAGCCCACTCAGAAAGGCCAGATGGATTTGTTGTGGCAGAAACTGACCACAAGGTTCCTGGCCAGGCTCTGGGTAGGTGATGCCTATAATTATGCAAACGTCCACCAACTGTTTCCCGTTAGCACCTCTGCCGCTGAAGCAATCCCCTCGCAGGAGGCTGCCAAGATACTTCCTCGCCTCCTGCACGTTGTATTTTGGAAAGAGCAAAACAAAACCTTCCTTTCCAAGCCACGGCTCGGTAACCGAGGAGTGACGGGTGGGGAAGGCTACGGAGCAGCGCTCCCAATTTAACAGAACGGATGGCAGCACCGGAGGGACGCCAATCCTTTTAATTTTTAAATTTAAAGGACCCCATTTTTGCATAGGTAACACATGCACTTGGTTTTAAAAAAATCAGGAGTAGGGACAAGGGACGCCTTCCTTCCCTTCCCGGTGGTCTGTTCTCCTCCGAGGCCCGGAAATACGGCTTATTCGGTCCTGGTTTCAGAGGCAACTTTGTACCACGGTCTCCCCCGATCTCTACACATGCATCTTATTCGAACGCACATCCATCTAACCTAATGCACACCCACTTACTCTGATGCACACACATTTTACTCTCGCTTCTCCGTGCCCGCAGGTTCCCTTCTCAGAATCCACTTTTTAAAAAATCTCCCGAACCTCTCCAGACCGCTGTCTCCATCCCCATCTCCACAGCGGCAGGCGCATCGCCTGCAGGAGCCCTAACAGCCTGCTCTCGGGCGGGCGGGCGAGGGGCCTGCAGCCGCCGCCAGCGAGGCTGGGCGCGTGCAAACCGTGCGGCTCGCTCGGGGCACCGGCACCGGAGGAAAGCCGGGTACGACGCTGTGCTCCCCTGTGTTCCCCGTAGCTCACGGTCGCCATCCGGACGGAAGGAATCCTTTCCTGAAAGGCAGCAGCGGAACGCACCGGCCAGAGGGGGCAGTGCGCACCCACGCGCCAGGCGCGGGCGCCCCCCCCCCCCCCCCATCCTCCCGCCTCCGGGAGCCCCGGGCGATCCTGTCCTCCAAGCCCGGTCTCTGCAAGTTCTGCCTGCGAGGCTGTGCAGCAAACCAGGGACTGGCCGCGGGACCAGCACAGGGACTGTCAGCAGGAGACAACCCGCCGCCACCGGGCGCCGGGAGAGCCCCGAGCAGCCGGCACCCCACTCTGCACGGAGCTTCTGAAAAGAGCAGAACAAAACCTTCATGCCCGAGCCGCGGCTACGGAGTCGAGGAGGGGCGGGTGGGAGAAACCACGGGACTCAGGCCAGCGTCTGGGGCTGTGAGAGTGAGGGCGCCCTAGGCACTGGCCGGAAGGTCCCGGTCACCCGAGCAGGAACCGGGCCCCGAGCACACAGCCCGGCAGGTCAGCGCTTTGCGTCCAGTGACCGAAACCTCGGCGGCTGGCGAGCTCGGGCAGAGCCGGGGCAGAATGCGTGTCCCGCTCAGGCTGAAACGCAGGCTCACACGGCGTTTGCGGATAAGACGGAGGAGGGAAAGTGTCGGCATGGAGGGGGAGCAGCACCCCAAACACCAAGGCACCGATACATGCCACTCTCCACGCCTTCCCCGATTAGAGAGAGCGCGAGAGAGGAAGGAAGGAAGAGAGAGAGAGGGAGAGCGCGCATTCCAGAATGTGGCAAATGCCGAGCTATTCGGCGGCACCCCCATCATCAGGGGAAGCCCGCGCGGTGGGCTGTTCTCCCCCGAGGACTGCAAACGGGGTTCATTCGGTGCGAGTTTCAGCGGCAACTTTGTATCGCGGTCCCGGCGACCTCCGCTCACGCGTCTGAATGGGAAACGCCCCCAGCCCCGAGGCGGAGCGGCCGCCCGGGGGGTTCCGGGCCCCGACCCAGCGGAGCGCGGCCGCGGCGGCAGGCGGAGCCCGGGTCCGGGCGGCGCGGGGCCGGGCCGAGCCGAGCCGAGCGGGTGGCGGGGCCGCAGTGGTGCCGCAGCCTCCGGCCGCTGCAGGTGGGACCCGGCCGGGCGCGCAGGCCGTGCGCCCCCCGCGGGTCGTGCAGACCGGCCGCGGCCGTTCGCGTGCACCGACTGGGTCTTCACCTGTCGGGGGAGCCCGGCCTGCGCCGCACGGACGCGAACCCCACAACTTCGTGGAGCGACGCCCGCCGCTCGGTGCTGCGTGTCCCCCGTCCCCCGGCCCGGAGCCCCGCGCGCCGCCCGCAGACAAAGGCGCGCGGGCGCCGGAGGGACGCCGCCCGGCCTCGGCCCGCAGGGGGCGCCGTGCCCCGCGGCCCCCGCGCTTACCTTTGAGGATCGAGCCGAGCTGCTCCAGGGCCATGTTCCCGGCGGCGCGCGGGGCCGGGCGGCGGCGAGGCGCCGGCGCTCACGGCCCGGCTGGTAGGCGGCCCCGCGCCGAGCCCATCGCGGCCACCAGGCGGCCTCCCCGCGGGCTGCGCTCAGGTCCCGCGGCGCGCCATCCCCGCGCCCCGCGCCGGCCCCAGCCCCCCATACGGGCGCCGCCTCCGGCCTCCCCACGCCCCGTCCCATCGACCGGCCCGGAGCCCAGCGGCGCGGGCGAGAGGGACAGCCCCGGTGCGGCCCCGCTCCAGTGGCGGCAGGCGCGGGGAGCCCGGCTCATTTAAGCGCAGAGCGTGAGCGCCGTGTGCCGGCCGCCGCCTGCGCGCAGGTCCCGCCCCTCCCGCCCCGCCCGCCCGCGCCCCTCGCCCTCGCGGCCAATCGCCCCCGGAGGGCGGCGCCTTCGACCCGCGGGGCCCGATGGGCTGGGTCCCGGGGTCCTGGGGTCCTGGGGTCCCGGGGTCCCGGGGTCTCGGGGTCCTGGGGTCGCCGTCCCCACCCGGGATGGGTCGGAACCGTCGCCGCGGGAGGCCGGCGCCCTGGGGGAGCGGCACCGACTCCTCGGCCTCCTGGGACCGCAGTTCAAGGTCAAAGCTGCCCGGCTCAGCCCCGCTTCCCCACCCGCCGGGGCCCAGGGCCCTCACGCGTCACCCGCCCTTCGGCGCCGGGTGGTTGGCCTGACCCGCGGGAACGTCTCCAGCGCGTCCTGACCGCTTCCTCGGTTGCCAGGCACCGGACCAAGCGCTTGCGTTTGAGCTTTAACCCTCAGTCTCGCCGCGGTAGGTGCCGCGGAGGCTGGGGAATCGGAGGCCCGAGAGGGGGCTGTGTGCACAGCCGGGCGGCGAGGGAGGGAGGGAGGGAGGGAGGGAGGGCGGGCTGGGGACCCGACACCTGCCCCAGACCTGCCCTCCCAGCCGCGGAGCCAGGCTCCTGGGTCGCTTGACTCCGCTGATCCAAAGCTCCAGCTCTGCCAGCTGCTGTGTTGGGTGTGAAGGGCCGGCTGCATGGCTCCGTGGTAATCTGATCACCTACTTGTTTATTTGTTCTTCCCCATCCCCCTCCCCCCACTCCATCCACATGTGAGCTCTTGGCCCGCCAGCGAGCACTGACCTATGTGACCCAGGATGTCACGGTGCCATTCCCGGTCAGGGCACAGGCCCGGGTTGCTGGCTCAACCCCCAGTGTGGGGCGTGCAGGAGGCAGCCGATCAGTGATTCCCTCTCATCATTGATGTTTCTCTCTCTCCCTCTCCCTTCCTCTCTGACATCAATAAAAATAATATTTTTAAAAAATGTATAAAGTTGCTTGCAGGCAGGGAGGCTCGCACATGCACTCAGCACTTACTGTTAGCCACGTTCCGGAGGCAACGATAGCTGCTGGGAGCATCCCTGCCCCGATAAGCAACATCTGCCTGCGCTGACACACAGTAGGACCTCCAGCGTATCTGTCCGGCCAGGTCTCATTAGGGACATGTCAGGCACCTGCAGGAAGCCTCCCAGGTTGTCAAGAACGCTCTTTCCTTCTTCTCTCCCTCCGAGAGGCAGAGGAGCGAGTGTCCACAGGGTTTGCTAGTGAACATACTTGACCCCAGTAAGCGCCAAGGCAGCGGTTCTCAACCTGTGGGTCGCGACCCCTTTGGCGGTCGAACGACCCTTTCACAGGGGTCGCCTAAGACCATCCTGCATATCAGATATTTACATGACGATTTAGAACAGTAGCAACATTACAGTTATGAAGTAGCAACAAAAATATGGTTGGGTCCCCACATGAGGAACTGTATTTAAAGGGCCAGAAGATTGAGAACCACTGCACCAAGGTCTCCAGCCCATGGCCGTACCCAAGGAGGGGTCCCAGGGGCATGTGTGGGCTCACGCCCATCACCCGCCATCACACCGAGATGGCACGTTTACAAGCCCGTTCCACAGACACAATCCAGGGCCCCCGGGAAGACCAGCACGCACGGAGAGTCGGCTCTGAGCACAGACGCGGGTGGGCAGCGGGACTTGGGAGGAAGGCGCCGTCTCTGCTTCTGCAACACGACAGGTTCCACATGCACAGTGGCCGAGGGACCAAGGGAAGGGAGAAGGTATGTGTGATGTCATCCGTGGAGGGGTGACACGCTCAGAGGGGAAGGGCTGGCAGTGGTGAGTGGCGAGTGGAGAGGGGAGGAGGGGAAGAGGGGAGCGTCCGTCTGGGGGAGGGTTGTGCTGGGAGGCAGTGGTTACAGGGGTCGGAGGTGGGCTTTGGCCAGGGAGACCCTGCTGGACCGACAGGCAGCGGAGTCCGCTCTTGACTGAGGAGGCCAGAGGCACAGGTTTTCACAGGGGAAGGTCCAGTGGCAGCGAGTTCAGGCTGTAACAGGAGAGGTGAAAGCAACCATAGTAATTTATTTAAAAAAAATATGTTTATCGATGTCAGAGAGGGAGGGAGAGGAGGAGAGAGAAACATCCATGATGAGAGAGAATCATGGGTCGGCTGCCTCCTGCATGCCCCACACTGGGGATGGAGCCTGCAACCTGGGCCTGTGCCCTGATAGGGAATCGAACCGTGACCTCCTGGTTCAGAGGTCGACGCTCACCCACTGAGCCGCCCACCGTAGTCATTTAACAAGCACACGCACAGCACGTGTTCATTCAGCCTCGCAGCTCTTACTGGTGGTGCCACCGTGATGGAACCTCAGCGGGCTCGTCTCTGGCTGGGGAGTAGCCCCCCCTGAGGAGGGGCTGGCTGGGGAGCAGCCCCCGGGGAGGGACTGTGGGGAGCAGCCCCCGGGGAGGGACTGTGGGGAGCAGCCCCCGGGGAGGGACTGTGGGGAGCAGCCCCCCGGGGAGGGACTGTGGGGAGCAGCCCCCGGGGAGGGACTGTGGGGAGTAGCCCCCGGGGAGGGGCTGGAGCTCCCTGGGGATGCCTTTCACATGGACTGTGCGAGGGCAGCAGCGTGTGGAGTGGAGTTTGCAGGAAGGAGGGGAAGCACAGACTGTGGCTGAGACTGCGGAGAGGCCATATGCTCCCGAAGCGAGAGGCGAGCCCTGCGCATGCCTCTCAGCCGGGGGCTCTGGATCCAGGTGCCTTTTCCCGGAAGCCCACCAGGAGCGCCCGGTCTGTCCCCGCTTACCTGCCAGCGCCCAGCACGGGCTCCTGGCCTCCTGCCCGCTCTTCCTGGCACAGGCCTAGCCTCTGCGGCTCCTCCCAGAGTCCCTCCCCCCAGCCTCTCCTGCGGCCCCAGGACGGCCGTCTGCTCCAGTGATTGTTGCTTAAACCTGTTTACTCGCAGCCAAAGCGCAGGCTGGTTCAGGGGTACAACATGAAGCCATCATGTTAACGTGGGAAGTCCTTTCCCTTAGCGTTTCCCACCCGTGGATGCCTGGTTAAAACAAATCAGAGGGGGTTGACTGCGGTCACTTCCCACACAGGTGAAAATACGTGTGTAGCTGCTGTAGTTTAGTTGTCCCTGCTCTTTTTTTAAAATATATTTTTATTGATTTCAGAGAGAGGAAGAGAGAAGAATCAATGATAAGAGTAATTGATCGGCTGCCTCCTGCACACCCACTACTGGGGATCCAGCCCCCAACCCGGGCATGTACCCTTGCCCGGAATCGAACCCGGGACTCTTCAGTCCCCAGGCCAACTCTATCCATTGAGCCAAACCCGCTAGGGCATAGGGAGGAGTAATTTTAAATTCGAAAGTATGACTGTTGCTCTCAGATTTTCAATCCGAGTTTAGATGTCCCAAGTGGCATATAAAATGTTCCCTTTTCTTTTCCTTCATAGAGGCTCCTGGGGCAGCCTGTCACCAATGATTGGTAAGTGTGGGAGCATACCGGCCCAGCCTTATTAAAAAAAATATTTTTATTGATTTCAGAGAGGAAGGGAGAGGGAGGGAAACATCAACGAATCATGGATCGGCTGCCTTCTGTAGGCCCTCCCCACTGGGGATGGAGCTCGCAACCCAGGCATGTGCCCTGACTGGGAATTGAACCGTGACCTCCGGGTTCATAGGTTGATGCTCACCCACTGAGCCACGCCGGCCGGGCAAGGCGCGGCCCTCTAACCTAGCTTGCGACCGGTTAGGAGACGGGAGCGCATCCTATCTGGAAACTCACTGTTGGCTCGTTTGAGGCCTCCAGTGAGAATGCCCGGCTGTTGGACACAAGGCCAGTTTCAGCTGCTTTTTCGAGTCGCTCTAGCGTGTGTGAGGGTTCCCATTGACTGGCTTTGCTCCTTCTTGGAGGTCTTCTGAAGGGCAGAAGGAAAATTATTTTTTAAAACATGGACTAAAACTCGTTCTCTTGCAGTGACTGTCAGACCCACTGGGCCCGTGTAAACCAGAGGTTCATGATGGACTCGCGTGGTCCTGCGTTTCCTGATCTCGCAACACGCGGCTCTGTGCTTCCCTGCGGGAGGCGGCTACCCGTGCAGCCCCGCTCCTGTTCTCTGTGCCGGTGAGAACCTGCCTGTGGGTGCTCTTCCCAGGTGTGTGGGTGCTCCATGTGGCGAGGGTGCCTGCCTCGGTCTCTCCAGTAACGGGTCCCGCCTTTCCTCGGCGAGAGGGGGGAGGGGAGGGCAGTGTGTGTAGAAGCTGTGAGCTTTCTGCCCGAGGCTCAGGAGGGAGAACCGTTTTGGGATCCCGCTTTTGAAAAGGCATCACGGTTTTTTGGGGGTAGATGGGGCCATAGAAAGGGTGGGTCCACAAACGGCGTGCTAACGGCCCAGCCGCTTCCTGCTCCAGGATCATCGCTTAGACCAGGGGTGGGCAAACTTTTTGACTCGAGGGCCACAATGGGTTCTTAAACGACCGGAGGGCGGGAACAAAAGCATGGATGGAGTGCTTGTGTGAACTAATATAAATTCAAAGTAAACATCATTACATAAAAGGGTACGGTCTTTTTTTTTTTTTTAGTTTTATTCATTTCAAACGGGCCCGGATCCGGCCCGCGGGCCATAGTTTGCCCACGGCTGGCTTAGACTCACGGACATGCCTGGCGAGGACTCAGGCCGGAAGGTTTATTGGGAAGACGCGCTAACATGCTTAGACACAAAGAGCCGCGCAGACACGGTCTCGGGGACCCGCAGGGAAAACACCATGAGGGCAAAAGTGACTGTTCTCAGGGGACTTTCCGTTTCAGAGCCGCCGCATGTCCACTTCACAGCAGACAATGTGGGGGCTGCTCCGTGAGCTCCCCACGCTCGGATCTGAGCCTGCGGGGACTCAGGCGAGGTGGCGCCCACGGAAGTTCGCACTGACGTGGTGTCGGGAGGTGAGCCTGGGCTCCCCCAAGCGCCGGAGAACTCGACCATGGCCGTGGCCTCCGGTGCGCCCGCAGCGGCTCCGTCCGGAAACCCACACTCTGCATGGGGAGGGGTGAAGTTTCAGGGCCGTCCGTTGGTGGAGGGCACCGCCATCTCTGTAGTTAATATGAGCACACACCCTCTGTAAGACAGCAGCCACCGGGAGCTCAGCTTTTCCGCATGTGATTCCTGATGCCTGGAAATAAGATTCTGGGAGTCTGTGCGTTTTGATGTCAGTGTGGACGTCTAAGGATAGTGCCCAACATAGCAATGACCCTGACCGCTCACGCTGTGCTGGGCGCTGCGCTCCCGGCAGATGCCCTGTCCCATCAGACGCTCCCGGGGGCCCACTGACCAGCGCCCGGCCCACTGATGACCAAGGAGACGGCTCCGGGGCTAGGCATCGGCCATGTTCCCACCGCCTGCGAGGCTGGGACCGGGGCTAAGGCAGCCTGTCCCAGCGGATCCAGAGCCGGATTCCCAGCCCCCGTGCTGTTTGCCATCAGTGAGGCCCCGACCTGCCAGACGCGGGGCAGGTGGGTAACTTCACCTGAGAGACGCTCACCAGTGTATCGTTGGGGTGAGAAGCGAGACCGGGTCAAGCGGAACATAAACCCCTGCTCCTTTAAATAGTTTATTTACAGGCTTTCCCGTCACCATCATTCTACGACGATTATAAACACGGACACAGTGCATGCACCGCCCACGAAGGAACAGACTGCTGGGCACAAACAACCCGAGACCCGCCCGCTGCCAGAGCTCCAGAGAGACCCGGCGCCTCCGGCCGTGACCGCGGCGCTCCCCCAAATCACAAAGGAAGCGTCACTTATAAATAATGTTCACCCCCCTTTCCTGTCTCAGCCAAACCCGGCGATTCCGTGAATCCAGCGAGCGCCATCCACGCGCAGCACCGGGCAGGTCACATGGCATCGAAGTGAAACCGGTGGGCTTCCTGCCGCTTCTCTCTGTCGTCCGCTTTCTGAAAGAGACGCAGACCCGGTTATAAACGCAGGAAGTGGCAGCAGACGCCTCAGCTCTGGGATAAAGAGGTTAAGTCAGAAAAGCCTCAGCAGTGAACGGACACAGGTGCTTCTGGAACAGTCTGTGCCCGGGTTTGAAGTTTGCAGGAGCGATTTTCTACATGCTGAGCCACACTGACTCTGACAGCCAACGGGAGCTGTTCCCTAAACGCTTCCTTTGACCGCGTAGCATTTATGTGAAAGTCGGAGTAAACAGGTTCTGTAAGGACGGAACAGCGATCACATATCTCCACTCCTGCCCCTGCCCGATGTTAGTCAGCGAGTCTAAGTCATATTAAATAAAGTACATCCATTATTTTGGGGCTACCCTATTGATTTAGCAGATAATAATTGACCCTGTTCCCAGCAAAGTACTGTGCTTGGTACTTCGAGGGATTATAAAGACCCTCATTTTTGTATTTTGCTCTCAAGGAACTTAAAGCCTAGAAAGAAAAAAGCCTAACATACTGCACAGTGTTTCAGAATAAAAAGGGAAAAATGTGCCTGGCGGTTGAAGATTGACAGATGAACCAGGAGGTCAGGGTTCAATTCCAGTCAAGGGCACAGGCCCAGTTTGTGGGCTCGATCCCCAGTGGGGGGCGCACGGGAGGCAGCCGATGGATGATTCTCTCATCGACAATGCTTCTCTTTCCCTCCCTTTCTGAAGTTAACAGAAACACGTATGTATGTTTAAAAGTAAAAATGCTGCCCACGTCCTGAGAGGGAGAGGACTGTAGCTGAAGCTGGCGGGCACGTGTGGAAAACAGGGAGCCGGGTGGGTGCCACGGTTCGGGAGAAGGAAGGAGCAGCCAGCGTGGGTGGACGGGCAGGAGGCGGCAGGGAGCCAGGAGCCCTTTTCGGGAAAGCACTTCGTGACCTGCTGGTTACGTACTTTATATTCACGTACGAGTAGGAAGGAGCCTTTTCAATTTGCATCTAAACTGCCACTAACTGTGGTCGCCGCCTGGTCCCCTCATGGGCGCTGTGTGAAAACCTGCATATGTGGGGTTCTGGTTTTAATTATTCAGGGTGTTACACTGAAGCGCCGAACTCAGTTCAGTGCAGAGAATACCTGACAGAAGGCAGATGGGCCACTTCAGCTCCTCGCCCGAGAGCTGGGGCCCGCTGTGAGCCTGTGGGCTCGATTCTTCTGGGGGGGGGGGGGGGAGAAAGAGAGAGAGAGAGAGAGAGAGAGAGAGAGAGAGAGAGAGAGAGAGAGACGGAGAGAGGGGAGAGGGGTCATCTCTGCAGAAGGCCGTCCGCGGCTCTCCCAGGAAATCATGGACACTCATAAAAAATGATGACCATTTTCTCAGGCCGTTAGGAAATTGTTTCCAACTAAATTTTTCCCATGTACCTGGTGACTTGGGGTGATCACTCTACCATATTGCACAACATCAACATTTTAAAGTAAATCGTCTCCTGTGATCTGTATGACCTGCTGAGACATAGTCCCTTAAGGGGATAAAGCAAGTCTCAATAAGGTGACATTATGGCTCTGGCCAGCATGCCCAGTGGTTAGAACGTTGGCCCAAGCACCGAAGGGTCGAGGGTTTGATTCCTGGTCCAGGGCGCGTACCTGGGCTGCAGGTTCCATCCCTGGACGCAGTCGGGACATGTGCAGGAGGCAACCACTCGATGTGCCTCTCCCACACTCTCTAAAAGCCAATGGGGAAGATGTCCTCGGGCGAGGATTAACAACAACAACAACAAGACATCATGGGCAGAAATGGAAACATCAGAAAACCTTCCTCATGTCACAGGCCTAGAATGCGGTGTTGGAAAGAGCAGCCTATTCCTTAACCAAAGCGAGCGCTTCGCTGGCGCACGGACCTTCTCCTGCCAGTGCAGGACGCCGATGATGGCCAGGATGAAGATGCAGACGCCGATGAGCGCGATGGCCGTCAGCAGGACGATGTTGCTGGGCGTGAGGTACAGCTTGGCACTCCAGCTGCCGATGCAACGGAAGGGTCAGAACGACAGTTTAACTTAAAGAGACCATTCTACCGAGACCAAAAAGCAGGACAGCTTATGAATGAACCCACTCATTCATTCCAGTCATTCCCCCACCTGTCCATGTGTTACCCACACACAGAAGCCACCGCGTTCAGGCAGGACGAACCATGCTGGCCCTGAGGGGTCAGCTTTTACTCGGCGGCCTGGATCGGGCCGCTGTGACTTTTCTCCTTGCTCCTGGGGACACTGCTCTGAGGTACATTCGACAAGGGCACTTGGGACAATGTTAGGCGTTGCTTTCACGTCCTGCTTGCCTTTAACTCTATGCCCTGTAGCCACCGGATTTCGGTAAGATTTCGGTGTCATCCTTTCTTGGGCCTCTGCTCACAGAGGGACTACGACCACCTAAGACAACCACGTGACCAGCTGGTGCAGAGAGACGGCTTGTGTGTCCCTGCGACACGGGGGAGGGCTGACGCCCATGCGGACGGGAGACTCCTTACAGCATCACCCGAGTCGCTCTGCGTCAGTGGCATAGGCAGACTTCAGCGTAAACAGAAGCAGGTCTTTCTTGTGACACGGCCCACAGCCAGCACCTGCACAGCCCGGGAGCCTGAGGCAGGTCTACACTGCAGGGGGTGCTACACAAATCACTTTTGTTCTCCCCCAAAAGAGGTAATGGATATATTTTCATTTTAGAAGTTTAATAACGGTAAGATGGTTCTATGAATGGCAAGTAGCGACTGACTTATTTGGGGCTAATTAAAATTTATTGATCCATAAGTTAGTCTCTAGTGAGTAAATCTCAAAATACGCCTCAAAGTAAAATCAATTTGGCTTTTATTACATACGTAAATCTGGAAAGCACATTTCTTCAGAAAGAATAAGAGAAGCATGAGGAATGTGGAGGCTGTAGAGGAAAGCTGTAACCGTTTCCAGAAGCTCAGGAGAAAACAGGAACGGGCTGAGGTTGGCTGCTCCCAGCACGTCACCTGACTACGGTGGATACACCCGTGCACGCTTTTATGGGAAAGACCGCTGCTTATTAAAAACCCGGCACCCTGACATGTTAGAATTTACAGCTCGGAACTGAGGCCTGATTTATTTAGGTGGAACGTGTATAAACTCCTCATTGTGAACCTGCTGGCTTTCGGAT